TATATATATATATATAAAGATAGTACCTATATATTCTTCTTTCTCATTCTTGTTTTATAAAAATTGTTTGTGATCAGACCCTGTTAAAAATGAATAGAGTCTCTATCCTTTCCTATTCCCCATTCATTTTTCTCCCCTCCTTATCCTTTTATTCTTTAAAAATCAAGATTTAAAGAAGTGTAACTTCTTTGGTTGTAATTAACGGTTTGTTCTCCACAGCGTAATGAAAAGCAGCTTGCCTTGTTCCAGGCTGCAGAAGGCTTCGTCTTTGTGGTGGGCTGTGATCGCGGGAGAATTCTCTACGTGTCCGAGTCCGTCTCGCAGACTCTTAATTATTCTCAGGTATCGAATTATGTCGCTATATCGAATTACTCTCCAAATTTCCATTATACATTCCGTGATCTATCAATACGAAGAATATCGCGAAAGCGAGTGTACAGCGTCACGCATAAGAATCTCCGTTCAATGGCTAATTAATCGTAATATTCGTGCTACCATTAGCCTCTGTCTGAGTAACGTCTGCTGCGTATTCATCTCATTGACTATAAATTATATCTTGAAATGGGTATTTATGCAGTCTATGTTTGATTGACAGTGATCACCATCATCGCTATTACTGCCATGTCAAGATTGATAATTTGTGAATTTTTCATTTTAGCATTTCTGCCACGATTTAGATATAATAATTTAATAAATTCTAGATATACTAGATATACTAATACGCACTGATGCTTATTAATATAATGCTGTCATGAACAATAACTCATGTAAGATAGTGAGATAAAGAATATTTTGAGATAAACAATATTTTGAAGACTTTTCTTTTATAGCGAATTCGATTGGATGCATTACTGGTGCATATTAAAGCTGTTATACGTTATATATTTATTATATCTTCTTTTTATTTAAATTGAAGTTCAATAAAGTTATTATTATTATATATTTAATAGACATTTTTATCGATTTTTACGATACTTTAATATATATCAGCATGCATTAAGTCCCAACCGAATTTGCTATTAAATTCTGTTTCGAAATAATACTGTGGCCATAGAAACCAAGTAAGTTTAAAATGTTGACGTTTAATTGTCTCAAAAAAAGCACTCTCTTTAGAAATCGGCATATATATTACGAATTAAAAACAGATATTAAACAAAAGCAGTTTTAATGTTACTAATTCTTCATTATCTTTTTAATGTTTAGGATATTCTAGTTTTATAAATAATAATAATATATTATAAATAATATATGATTACTATGTATACACATTATAATTATAGTCGACTTGTATCGTTTTGAATTTTTACTAAATTACAAACTTTAAGGATCTTAATGCCATCACAGGGTGACTTGTTGGGTCAAAGCTGGTTCGATATCCTACATCCTAAGGATGTTGCGAAGGTAAAGGAGCAGCTCTCATCCTCTGATCTCAGTCCGAGGGAACGACTGATCGACGCAAAAAGTAAGTATCAGTTATTGCTGTATTATGACCGTTAGTATTAAAGCAAGTATTGCTTTTCCACAGTACTGCTGCAATTCCAGAGTGCGTTCCGTTTCACATATGATGCGCATGATGTATCATTTTATTCTTCTTTAATATGAACAATAAGGATAAAATGATACATCATGCACATATTATATTATTTATATTTATTGAAACGATACACACTTTAGATTTCGACTTGGCGCGCACCGACCCAGCCGCGTGCGGAGCATTAATTTCTCCGGCCATGAGAAAAGGCTTCAAAAGCTATTAATTATAGCATCTTTCGACATTGCCTCACGTTCGACGCGTCGATCATTGCGAACGCAAATTAGTTGCGGTGTGCACATCTCTTCCACCACCTTTACCCGATAAATGTCAGTCGCTCGGCAGCATTTGCTCGCGTAAGCTTTGTCGATAAACATCTTAGAATTAGCGTGCCTACCAGATAAGAATATTGCGAAAGATCCACGCCGAATGAGAAAAAGAGACGAAGAGTTGCCGAACGAGTCTAATGCCAGGATTCCTCGAATGTTGCATCGCGATGCGATCTGCATGTAAAGCGTTTGGATCGTCACAAAGTACATATTTAAGACGCTAGTAAATGTGACATTAATATCATATAATGAATGCTTTTTGCGATTGAGATACAAGAGAGACGTGAGAAATAAAGATATAAAAGAGAAAAATATCAGGTAGAAATAAAAAAGAGAAGAAAGAAGGAGATAAAATGCAAGGATATAGACGAAAAGAATAGTTTTGTTAAATTATCTAAAAATTCAGTAGATATAAATTCGAAAATAATTTTGTTTGGACCATCAAAATAATTATATATAGAATGCTCAAACTGGTAAACTAAAATGTTAATCCCGCAAACACAATAGAAATAGTAAATCTTAAAGAATTTACCAATCATAATCGATCATTCTTCTCACATTCGACTGTGATTCATTAATATCTTAAAGCTTACTACACCTTTTGTATTTAAAAAAGGTAAAACTTTTGACTGCATTATCATCAACTTTTAAGGATTCTACATTTTTGATAGTCTAACAAAATTATTATTTTCAGATCTGTATCTAGCTAAATTTTTAGATACTTCAGTAAAAACCATTCTTTCCGGTATGAATAGAATTATTAATCATCCGATTGATGAACCTTGTTAATTTTCGTAATTTTTCAGCCATGCTACCGGTGAAAACCGACGTGCCCCAGGGTGTGTCACGACTTTGCCCCGGAGCGCGGAGATCCTTCTTCTGTCGGATGAAGCGTAAAGTCGACGGGGTCCGTTGCGGTGAGATGCAAGTGAAGGAGGAAGCCGACGCCACCGCTGGCTGCCATAGAAGAAAGAAGCAACAAAACGTAGGTGAGTGCGGCTAATTACCCAAAAATCCCATAATTCATTCGGCAATGCGGAAAAATCGGTAACTCGAATTAATCATCATACGTGAAAAGAACACGTATAAATAAATTTATTGAGGCATCACAAGTGTTTTTTTCTTAACTAGAGGAAGGGCTTTTATTATTGATTAATGAATATACAGAAAAAATGATTTTATTAAAAGATCTAAAATTTTATTGAATACAGATCTGAAAGTAAATTTGTTGCACATCAAAATAATTGTGTGGAAATTCAAATTTGCTGATTGCAAGAATATTAAAATTTTTTGTATTGCTTATCACTATATATTTTGCAATATAATTATTTTGTTAATTCAATTATTTTGCACAGTTTATAAAACTGAGAAAATATATATTTATCAAAATTGTATATGTTAGTATTAAGAATTAATTTTATAAGATCTGCTTTGACCGAAAATAGAATTATTTCTTAATAATTATTTTATAATTCAATAAAATGATTTTTCAGATCTGTATGACTCTGTCCAACAAAATTTTAAATTTTTCAATAAAATTATTCTTTTTGTATATTTTATTTTTTTTTTATAAAAATGATAATTGACAACACAAATGTATTGTCCGAATATCGTGATCATTACATATTTTTTTAAATGAACACAATACTTTTTTCTAAAAAAAGAAAATAATTTTAAGTCGTGTCCTTTGTCCAATGACGGATTCAATTTTCTTTCAAGAAGCAAAGCTCCTTGCAGTGCGAAAAAATATGACCGTGACGATTCAGGGTGTTTATATCGGGGATGCAAACGCGTCTTTTGGAGAGTCACACGCACGATCGAAGACACGGCACGAAAATTTGTCGCATGGCTCGTCAAAGGTGAAAAGTAGAAATCGTATACAGTATCGCAGCAAAACGTCGGTGAAAGGATCGCTGATATATCCTCATCAAATATCTCACCGGCAATCGTAAAGTCTCGATACTTTCCCCTTACTCGTTCTCTGCAATTTCATCTCATTCGTTCCATCGTCTCTTCACTTTCTATAAAATATAACAATATATCTATAAAATATAATGTAAAACTAATTATATACACTACTTTATAAATTCGAGATCGCTT